CCCCGCCCACGCTTGCTGCCTCTAAACTCCTAGCGGCCATCTGGTGATTTAACCTCCCTTGTAGCTTTCCTACTGGGAGTGAAGTGCACTGATCAGGCCAACAAAAATATTTCGTTTTTCTGCAAATTAATAAGTTGTCACACTGACTTTATACTTTAAGCAAGAGATAATGAGAAAGATTAGTGTTTAAAAGCAAATGTTCTTTGGTTTCATTTTACCCATCATCATGCACCTGTACCTGTTTTTTGTTGGGGTTTTTTGGGGAGGCAGTCTTAAATCCCAATATCGAGTTAATTTTTTTTTTTTTTACAACTTTAAAAATATTTACATATCATTAGAAACTTTTCAAGATGCGTTGTTTTTAGTTGGTGTGAATGGAAGTTTGGTGAAGAGCAGAAGCCTGGAGACCACCACCCTTACGCCCCCTAGGCCACCAGCATCACCACCACCGCATAACCTGCTTTGGGCCAATTTACCTTCCGGTGCCTTTGTAGCTACTTCATGGGGTCACTGTGGAGGTGAAAGGAGATCGTGAGTGAAGTGCTTAGAAGGAGCCTGGCTGAGAGTTAGCACTTAACGTTAGCCATTGTTGTTATAACACAACACTGTAGTATCATTGTACATGCTAATACAAGGAGCAAAAATGTGTTGTTGAGTTGATTCTTAATGGAAGTCCTTTCCTTGAATATATTAACCTTTCCAGCAAAACGTAGTTTGCCCGGGCTGCCATAACAAAATACCACAGATCACGAAGCTTAAACAGCAGAAGTTTATTTCTCACAGTTCTGGAGTCTAGGAAGTCCAAGATCACGGTGACAGTCAGTTTGTTTCCTGGTGAGAACCCTCTTCCTGGATTGCAGGCAGCTGCCTTCTTGCTGTGTCCTGGCCTGCTGGACCAAGAGATCTTTGGCGTCTCCCTCTTATAAATGCCTCAGCCCTATCAGATTAAGGCCCCACCCTAATGACGTCATTTAACTTTTATCATTTACAGGCCTTCTTTCTAAATACAGTCACTTTGGGGGATAGGGTTTCAGGTTGTAGAACTAGATTTATTTTAAAACTGTTGCACGCCTGCTATATACAAGGCCTTATTTTGAGGAAAAGGGAGCGCTGAGTTGACGTGTGTGGAAGGATGCAGGGGTTCTCGCCTTCCTAAAGAGCTTCCCATTCTCGGGGAGTGGCAGAGATGTGTACCAGCCATGGAGAGAGTAACCAGCTGAACGACAGGCAGGGCAAACACCAACAGTAGAACTTCAGCAAAGGGATTTCAGTTCTCAGCTGGAATGCGGATGCTCAGGTGTGGAGAAGCCTAGGAAAACCCCACTCCGGTGACAAAGCCTGGTGACCAGCCTGGGTCTGGGGCTGCAAGGAGACCATCTAAGAATGCCGTCTAAAGGGAATCACACTGTATTGCAACACAGTCTTTGGGTCTGGCTGCCTTCCCTTGGCTGGTGCTTTTGAGGTTCATCCTTGGCAGTTACATATATCAGTAGTTTGTTCCTTTTTGTTGCTGGGTGATGTTCTGCAGTGTGTTTATTAATTCACCACCAGTTGACGGGTACCAGTACTGCTTCCCACGTTTGGTTATTAAAAAATAAAGGTACTGTAGGGAATTACCTGGCGGTCCAGTGGTTAGGACTTTGCACTTTCACTGCCGAGGGCACGGGTTCAATCTCTGGTCAGGTAACTAAGATCCTGCAAGCCGCGGGGCGCGGCCCAAAATAAAATAAAGGTACTATAAACCTTAGTAGTTATGGCGCAAACCTGTTATAAGCAGATTAGTGACTCAGTATTGAAACACTCCTGAAAGCTTTTATTCTTTTTTCTTTTCTTTTTTTTGCGGTACGCGGGCCTCTCACTGTTGTGGCCTCTCCCGTTGCGGAGCACAGGCTCCGGACGCGCAGGCTCAGCGGCCATGGCTCACGGGCCCAGCCGCTCCGCGGCATGTGGGACCTTCCTGGACCGGGGCACGAACCCGTGTCTCCTGCAACGGCAGGCGGACTCTCAACCACTGCGCCACCAGGGAAGCCCGCTTTTATTCTTTTGATTTAAGGAGAGAACAAAGCGTTTGAGGGTTTTCGTCTTGGATTTGATGAGGGTATAACAATTGTATTGAGCTATAGATGCATCCCCCTTCTGTTTTAAATTTTCTTAAACGCGTACATGTGCCTATAATAATTTACTAATTCATATTTTCTGTGACTCTGTCATTGCTTTAATTTTGTGATGATTTATGAAACCTTAGGTTACACAGAAGAAATTAAGGACTAAGATACTGAAGATATTTAATAAGCCCCATTGTTTTTTTAAAGTTCTGTAATACTTATCAGGCTATCTGCATATGCGTGCATATTGTAAAAATGTCACCAAGAAGCAGCTGATGTGTAGCTGGAGGTGTTGATGGCACATATCCTCTAGGTAAGGAGGAGTCAGAAAGGTTCAAGACATAGTCCCTGTCCCTTACTTTGGATTAACACTTAAATGCTTTCTTAAAAGTTTCTTTGTACTTGATTAAGTGCTGTCTCCGTAAGTGGGTACAACGTGGGTCTTGACTTCCAGCCGCATGCTTTGGTTAAGCAAAGGGCAGTATTATGCCCGGTACCCACGGTCGTATCCAGCACACCCCCCCTCACTGTTTTAGGTTGTGACCTTTCATTCCCCGGCAATAAACTGGTCTCTGGAGATCACTGTAAAATTATAGTGGATGAAAAATCTGGTCAGGTGTCGCTGGAAGATACCAGGTAAGCTCTTTCTGAACTTCTTTCCTCTTGTAGCTTCAGGAAGCCGACTTGAAGCCAATGAGTGCAGAGAAGAGACAAGGGCCTGCTTTCTATAGCTCAGATAGGGTCTCCGGGTATTGGGAGATGTATTTTCTGGTTTCCAGGATGGGCTACTTAGTGACACTTTGGTGTCTGTGACCGTTCTTAAATGTATTCAAGTTAAAGCAAAAATAGCTCAGAAATAAGACTTAAAAGGCAGTGATACATTTTGGGTTCTTGCAAACCTATTCAAGTTAGACTTACCCAAATCAAGAAGTCTTTCTTTTTTTTTTATTATTATACCGCATAAGTAGTACGTGAAAGTGAAAAGCTTTCCAAAATTCCACTCACCCACAAAATACATACATATTTATTTTGTATTAATGAGATTATACTGTTATACTGTGTATCTATTTTACTTGGAATGTTTGCAGAGTGCTCATCACGTCCGTTTGTCTAGGTCCATCTCGTCTTTTTCATTATTATATAAGGACTTGTCAGCTCCCTTACTGATGGAAAGTTATTATTTTGACTTTTTCTTATTATAAATGACACTGCAGTGACTCTCCTCCAAAACTCTTTCCATTCATGTCTGATGATTTTCCTGGGGTAAGTTTATGGGAAGGAATGCTGGGTGCAAGGTGTGAGTGGCAGACGGCCACCCAGCAGTGTGTTGAGAACACGCCTTTCCCACAAGGTGATTTTTTTTATTGTTGTGAAGGTCAAGTGCTATGAGATTCTTTGGTAAGTAGCAGTTTGAGGGATAGAAGACCAGGAATTTGGTTTTATTAGGAAGAACGGATGCTGCTTTTCCTCTGATAGGTAGCAGGTCAAGTCCTGTATTTCTCAGCACAATGTACAGTAACAGTGCTGGTTCCAGAGGTCTACAGTTCCATACTGTCTACAGGACAGTATGTGCTTCCCAAGGCTGCTGTAACGATTACCACAGGCTCAGTGGCTAAAACAGCACAAATCTGTGATCTTATAGGCCTGGGTGGTCAAAGTCCATCTCAGGCCTCACTGGCGTCGGCTCCTTCTGGGGGCTCTAGGGGAGAAGCCGTCCTCTGTCCTTTCCAGCTTCTAGAGGCTGCTGCCTTCCTTGGCCGAGGTGGCTGGAGGGGTGGGGGTGTTCCAGGTGGGAGGAGCCGCAGGTGCAGAGGCCCCGAGGTGCAATCAGGAAGACCCCGATGTCCACGCTGGAGAGACTGGACGTTAGCCTGAGAGCAGTGAAGAGTCACCGAGGGGTTTAAGCGGAAAAGTGAAATCAGACTTCTGGGTTAGAAAGAGCTTGAGGATAGGTCGTGGGGAGAGCCTGGCAGCAGAGGCCGCGGCAGTGCTGCAGCAGCTCTGCTGGTCTCTGTAAGTGGGGCTTTACTGGGAAGGCAGCCCAGCCCTCCAGGGACCTGCCACCTGTTGGTTGCAGGAGTTGGGACGGAGACAGCGTGACCGTGCAGCCTGAACTATATCCTGCCTGGCCCTTTACAGAAATCCAAAGTAGTGGCAGTCTGCTCAGAGGGAAAGGTGACCCCTCTTCAGCACTGGGAGCCTTAGGAGTGGGGCCGTGGAGTTGGGGCCCGTGTGGACTGAGTGCCTGAAATTGGCAAGGGGCAGGGAGGGCATGCTCAGTTGCCGAGTTTGGCTTTTGTCCGGTGCGCTCTTCCCCTTGCCTGCAGGAGCCCCTCCTCAGGGAGGTGCCTCCTGTCCCGCCTGACCAAGGTCCCGGTGTCTCCTGGCCGTGCCTTCCCATCAGGCACTGTGGTCCCTGATTAACTGGAGTGACTTCCCAGCAGCAGGACCGCGCCGTCTTCCGCTTGGTAGCCCTGCGTCGATTTGCTTTTGCCCAGAGCCCATGTCGTAGGAGGGTCAGTGCTCATGAGAGGAGTGAACTGAGCTGGGCCGCGGCTGCCGGAGCAGGTTAGGCCTGTCAACAGAGCATGGTGTAGAAGCAAGAGAGAAGCTGGGAATCAGAGCACGTGCTGCTGGTGGGCGTCCAGGGCTCCACCAGGAGGAGAACGTGGGGCTGGCACAGCGGAGGCGTTAAAACACTTGACACACCATTGGGCTGTGGGTGAGGGGGCAACAGGCAACATTCTTCTCAAGAGAATTGTAAGGTGGCATGAGTATTTACATCATTCCTATGAGTGTTTTATCATTTGCAAAGTGGTAGTATTGAACTGCTTTCCTACTGGCTGTAGAAAAGGAAAATTTTAACTCCAAGTTGTTTTAAGTAGGATAAATTGGATTTTTATTGTCCCTACAGCACCAACGGAACAGTAATTAACAAGCTGAAGGTTGTTAAGAAGCAGACTTGCCCTTTACAGACTGGGGACGTCATCTACTTGGTGTACAGGAAGAATGAGCCAGAACACAGTAAGGGAGGGGGTGTTCCTGGGCTGGACTCACGGGTGGTGCAGCAGGGGACCCTGCCACAGCTGGGAAGCATTGTGGGAAGAGACTGTTGAAGCAGGTATTTCCTGAAGGAATGTTAGTACTAGCTGCATCCCCTTTTTCGTTCATGTACGTTCTTGGTGTGGGTAGTGTCTGTTGAAGAATGGGAGTGTTGACCTCGCGGGCTGAGCCCCAGCCATTCTTCAGAAATGCCACTGTGGCCATGAGCCACGGTCTCGATATGGTAGCCAGGGAGACGGGGTGCGGGGGGGCGGCGGTGAGGAGGGCACCTGAGTGAGGAGAATAAGGCCTAGAATGGGGGCTGGAGGCCACGGACAGCTCTGCTTTGGGAGGCTTTACAGGAGACAGCAAAGGTTAGACGGGATAGTCCGTGAGGGCTTTTCCAGCTCTGAGCATCTGCACCTGTGTTGGCGGGAGAACAATGATGCAGGACAGGGAGAGTCAGGGGAGCCCTTCGAAGGTTACCCCGGAAGTAGGGAGAAGAGGGCAGGTATCCCCTAGACTGTCCTCAGCAGTCAAAGCCAGCCCCCGGCCACAGGGAAGGATCTTGTGTCCGGTCCTGGTGGTTTGAAGTGACAAGACACAGGCTCACCCCTCCTCATCGCTTTGCTTGCCTCAGTCTGCCTCCTGACGCCGGATGGTTTTCTGAGGCTTATTTATTTTAAGTTTGGTTCACATGTTTTGGATCACTTGCTTTAAAATCCCTTAAACCAGCGGATGTGGTTACTAGCTTATAAGTCGAACTAGTCGACAAGGGCAAAGTGACTGTGAGGTGATGGGAGGGAGCAGAAGAGAAAGATGAGCTCTCCTGACGCGTGGCGAACGCCACTCTGGTTCGGTTAATTTCCTTCAGACGTGGCATACCTCTACGAATCCTTCCATGAAAAGCACGGCGTAACACAAGACTCCTTCGGTAAGTGAGATTTTCGCAAAGGAGCGGGTGCGTGTGTTGGCTCTTCATGCGCTGGAATGTATTCCTGACGCAGCAGCTCCCCCTGGGCCCCGACTGTGTTATGCTCCTGCTTCTTTGTGCTTACAGAAGCTAATAAAGAAAACGTGTTCCACGCGACCAAAGATACCTCAGGTGCAGGGCGAGGCGACGACCCTCAGGATCCCCAGGTCCTGCCATCGCCACCCGCCACTCAGGTGTGCTTTGAGGAACCACAGCCATCAACGTCCACATCGGACCTCTTCCCCACGGCCTCTACCTCTTCCATGGAGCCCACCTCTGCAGGGCGAGGGCCTCCCTCCAGCTCCGGTGAGATGGGGATCTCAGGGTGGTAGCTGCGTTGCCCTTTGTTCGCTAATCCTGCCCTGCATTGTTAGGGAGACAGACAAGCCACTGAGGAGTTCAGAGGTGGTGTCAGGCATCAGGCTGTCAGTAGTAAGTCGTAAATGTCTTGTTCCATCCCCAAGAGACAGGCTGAAGGCCAGGGACTACAATACTGTGGTATTCTTCACAGGTTATAATTCATATACTGTAAAAATCACACAAAGTGAACCCTTCCGTTTGTTTGTTTGTTTTTTAACGGCATCTTGGATTGCCTGCGCCTGGTTTGAATCAGTGACGCTTTGAACGCTGTCTCTTCTGAGGCAGGTGAGTCAGGGTGTCTCTCGTCTGTCCCTCTTCACAGGCTCGAGAGGTGCAGACGTCTCCCCAAGAGGGTGTGGTCCATCTGTGGCGAGTGATGAAGCCACCGTCTTCCCTTTGGCTCTCCCAGCAAGAGAGGGGGCGTCCTTTTCTCTGTCGGAACCCAGGGACCAGGAGGACTTGGAGCCCGTTAAGAAGAGAGTAAAAGCAGGTCAGAGTCCAGTGGTTGCGTGTAACCTTGGCGCCCCGGCAGCACCGTCCCATCTGAGCCTGTTGGGGCCCCACCATCTGCAGAAGTCGGAGGACCCTATCTTCAGCCGACACCTGTGGTACCTCAGCATCTTCCAGATGGCAATCTGGGCCTTTTCTTTCCTGTCTGCACCATCGGGATTGAACTGTGTTTACTGTCAGGATATGCTCTTGGTCTGGAGACCACAGTCTGGGGTTGCAGCTCTGTCCTGATACAGCAGCCAGTTTTTAAGAGTATATTATCTTTAAGTGATAGTTTGAGCCTTCACGTTAAAGGTGATTTTGAGAAAAATCTATACTTTAAAATTCGAAGTTAAAAAGATTGTAAAAACTTTTGGGAATGTTGTTGGGAGGACAGTAGCTGTGAGGCAGGCCTGAGAGCTTCCCCTGGATTGGGGCAGTGTGACAGGAGGGAGGGCCTCGGAAAGAAACTGCATTATCTGATGTATTGAGTGGAAAATTGAGTTGATTGGCCTGGGGAGGTGTGGGATGAGTCAGCAACAAGTACATAAAAATAAGTATGAAAATGGAGCCACTTTTAACTCTATCGGAAATGAAAAATTGTATAAGGAAGAAAATTATACTGTGTGAGCAGTGAATATTTAAGCATAATAATATAAATACAATATACTGAACCAATAATTGTGTTAGAATAATATTGGGAAGGAGACCCAGAGGGGCAGAGTCCTTCTCTGCTTCAATGGATGTCAGGAGATGATGTCTAAAATCCATCAGCCTAAACGTAGCATGACAATTCAGAAACACAGAGGTCCGGACCAGAAGAAACAGAAGACACGAAAGTTGTTTCCCCAGAGGAGGGAGGGTGAAGCTGAGGACAGGCTGGGGCAGAGGGCTGCTGCTTTGGTTTTCTTTTAAATATTTGACTTTTTAAATTGTAAGTATTTTTTTAATTAAAAATAAATTTAATTTCTGATTATAAAAAAAGTAAAACACACTGGCAGAAAAAAAAATTTAAGCTCCTGGTAACATTTGAGGGTCTGTATTTTCCAGCACTTTCCTGTGTGCATATGGGTCACATTTTTTGTTTGTTTAAACAAAAATTACTTCACACACAAATGCTATTTGACACCTGGCCTTTATCTCTCACCCATGTATCCTGTCTTTTTTATGCTGTTAACTATTATAAAACAAAACTTAAACATACTGGATTGTGAGACTTACTTTGAACCTTTGTAAAAATGCCCTTTAAAATACAGTGAGGGAATGGCCATCATCAAAAAATATACAAACAATAAATGCTCGAGAGGGTGTGGAGAAAAGGGAACCCTCTTGCACTGTTGGTGGGAATGTAAATTGATACAACCACTATGGAGAACAGTATGGAGGTTCCTTAAAAAACTAAAAATAGGACTACCATACGACCTAGCAATCCCTCTACTGGGCATATACCCTGAGAAAACCGTAATTCAAAAAGAGTCACGTACCACAGTGTTCACTGCGGCTCTATTTACAATAGCCAGGGCATGGAAGCAACCTAAGTGTCCATCGACAGATGAATAAAGATGTGGCACATATATACAATGGAATATTTCTCAGCCATAAAAAGAAACGAAATTGAGTTATTTGTAGTGAGGTGGATGGACCTAGAGTCTGTCATACAGAGTGAAGTAAGTCAGAAAGGGAAAAATGAATACCGTATGCTAACACATATATATGGAATCTTAAAAAAAAAAAGTTCTGAAGAACCTAGGGGCAGGGCAGGAATAAAGATGCAGACTTAGAGAATGGACTTGAGGACACAGGGAGGGGGAAGGGTAAGCTGGGACGAAGTGAGAGAGTGGCATGGACGTATATACACTACCAAATGTAAAATAGCTAGTGGGAAGCAGCCGCATAGCACAGGGAGATCAGCTCAGTGCTTTGTGACCACCTAGACGGGTGGGATAGGGAGGGTGGGAGGGAGAAGCAGGAGGGAGGAGATACGGGGTTATATGTATACGTGTAGCTGATTCACTTTGTTATAAAGCAGAAACTAACACACCATTGTAAAGCAATTAAACTCCAATAAAGATGTTAAAAAAAAAATACAGTGAGGGGACTTCCCTGGTGGTCCAGTGGTTACAACTCCAAGCTTCCATTGCAGGGGGCGTGGGTTCGATCCCTGGTCGGGGAACTAAGATCTCGCATGCCCCGCAGCGTGGCCACTAAATAAATAAGTAAAATTTAAAGATTAAAAAAAAAAGTACAGGGAGGACTGGGTCTCCTGTCCACAGGTTAAGACATCTGTAAAACCAAGAGATGGAGTACACATCCTCCATGGTCATGATGTTGAGAACGTGTCCCTTTCCCTTGCAGACGGGGAGCCCGCCCTGAACCTGCCCCTGGTCACAGACCCGGGCGGAGACCCCCACAGTGCCCTCGACGTCAGAGCTGCGACCGTGAAGCCAGACAAGATGGAGGAGACTCTCACGTGCATCATCTGCCAGGACCTGCTGCACGACTGTGTGAGGTACGCCCACAGGGCCCGCAGGGCCACAGACGGGGCTGGCCTCTGCATCAGGCCCGCTGAGGTTACCATAGCCATTCTCCTTGTGTGGCTGACGAGCTGAAAGCCGGGCCCGGTGACTGACGCTGCACAGGAGCCCGCGAGACGCGTGCAGTGGCTCTGACCTCAGTGGCGCCAGGTCCACCTCAGCTAGAGCAGGGGAGCTGTACCGAGTGGCCAGCATCTCGTGGTTAAGGAAACACGGTAGTTAACGTGGAGCAAAGGTGCCAGAACGAAGATCTCTCCGTGCTTCTCTGTGGGAACTTAAGAGTTTGTCCGCAGTTCGGCTTAAATGCGGGTCTTTGCCACCCACACCCAGTGTCTCCGCTCCTCCCAGTCCTGGTGGCCCTGGCCACCAGTGGTCCCTGGCCCTCCTGGAGCACAGGTTGCCGCGTGGCCCCGGTCTCTTGTAGCTGGCAAGTGCACAGGTGAAGCAGTTGCGGCCAAACGCCGTGTTTTTGCGCAGGGACTGCTGCTCAGGCGGGTCGTGGAAAGCAGGCGGCGTGCCCCTGCTGAGCCGAGGTGCGGCCCCGCCAGCTGCAGGCCCCACCACGGCATGGGTGGAGCGCCCCAGAGCACAGGCCTGAGGCCCTGCGGAGTCAAAAGATCAGGGGGCAGGGGGGCAATTGGCCCATTCTTCTGTTTTTACCCGAACCTCAGTCTGAGCAGGGCCACGTCCTCCTTCGGAGAAAGAGGCAGCATGACCCTGGGTCCCTGCTTCTCACACCCAGTGCCCGTCCTGTGCCCTCAGCCTGCAGCCCTGTATGCACACTTTCTGCGCCGCCTGCTACTCAGGCTGGATGGAGCGCTCTGCCCTGTGCCCCACCTGCCGATGTCCAGTGGAGCGGATCTGTAAAAACCACATCCTCAACAACCTGGTGGAGGCGTATCTGCTGCAGCACCCGGACAAGAGGCGCAGCGAGGAGGACGTGCGCAGCATGGCCGCCAGGAACAGGATCACACAGGACATGCTGCAGCCCAAGGTCAGGAGGGCCTTCTCCGACGAGGAGGGGAGCTCCGAGGACCTGCTGGAGCTGTCAGACGTGGACAGCGAGTCCTCGGATGTCAGGTGAGCCTCGTGGGGGCGGGGCGGGGGGGGCGGGTCTGACTGCTCCCCACGACCTGCTGGTCTGGGCCGCTGCTGAGGTGCGACACTGTGGCCCAGGTGACTGTGGTGAGGCTTGCTCACTGCCCTGCCTCCTGTGACAGCCCCTCTTTTTTGTATATGTGGAATATTTATTCTATTATTTTGTTGCTTATCTGTATTTTTTTTCTAGTTTATTACGATATAACTGACATACCACACTATGTAAGTTCAGGGTGGACAACATAATGCTTTGGCTTAATTATTGTGAGAGGATCGCCACAGTAAGTGACACCCTTTTGTTTGCTGAGTCATCATCAAGTGCCTTGATTCACAGGCTGAGACAGACTCTGCAGAAGCACACTCACTCTCTGTAGCTTGTCTAGTGATTATATGTCCTGCACCGTAAGTTGCAGTATTTATCATCTGTTAGGATGTTATTGTAGAAAAGCCACAGTCACCTGGCAGAGGGTGCAATCCTAGGAGACCTTTTTTTTTTTTTTTTTCGGTACGCGGGCCTCTCACTGTTGTGGCCTCTCCCGTTGCAGAGCACAGGCCCCGGATGCGCAGGCCCAGCGGCCATGGCTCATGGGCCCAGCCGCTCCGCAGCATGTGGGATCTTCCCGGACCGGGGCACGAACCCGTGTCCCCTGCATTGGCAGGCGGACCCTCAACCACTGCGCCACCAGGGAAGCCCTAGGAGACCTTATTTTATCTGCTGTAGAATGTTGGGGGTTTTTTCATAAATTTATTTTATTTATTTTTTTATTTTTTTGGCTGCGTTGGGTCTTTGTTGCTGCACACAGGCATTCTCTAGTTGTGGCGAGCTGGGGCTACTCTTCGTTGCAGTGTGCGGGCATCTCATTAAGGTGGCTTTTCTTGTTGCGGAGCACAGGCTCTAGGCCCACGGGCTCAGTAGTTGTGGCTCACAGGCTCTAGAGCACAGGCTCAGTAGTTGTGGCGCATGGCCTCAGTAGTTGTGGCTCGCGGGCTCTAGAGCGCAGGCTTCAGTAGTTGTGGCAGTCAGGCTCAGTAGTTGTGGCTTGCAGGCTCTAGAGCGCAGGCTCAGTAGTTGTGGCGCACAGGCTTAGTTGCTCCGTGACACATGGGATCTTCCCGGACCAGGGCTCGAACCCACGTCCCCTGCATTGGTAGGCGGATTCTTAACCACTGCGCCACCAGGGAAGCCCTCTGCTGTAGAATATTGATGTCTCCTGACTTGAAAGTCCAGGGTATGAATTTTTGTGTTGAGGCCATAAAATTTAAAAAGACAAAACCGCTCCCCCCCTCCTCAGTTTATTATCTTTGTTTCTTTCCCCCAAATTTAGCACATAATGGTCAAGCAAAAAGAAAACCAAAAATCACTTTTGGTTTGTGTGAACATTTTATTACGTATTCATCTGGCCGTACATATGTGTAGTCATACATACTTATTTTTTTACCATTTAAAACATTTTTTTGTAATATTTTGAATTCTGAACAAAGCTGCAGTGCATGGCCTGCATTTACAGTTCAGTGCACATGTCCAGTCATTTCTTGGAGATAAGTACCTGGAAGTAGGATGCTCAGGTCAGGAGTCTCACTGAGGGGATGCCTTGCTGGACTTCTGGCATCTGTCATGAAGTGCCTGTCAGAGAGTCCTGGTGTTGGTGCCCCACAGGGTATGCAGAGGGACAGCAGTGATCCCTGCGACACTCAGAGTAATGGGACAAACAGGTATCTTATTCCCATTTATATGTTTTTCTTACATATGAGGCTGAATGTCTTCAGTGTTTCTGCATTTTCTAGTCAGGTCTCGCCTGTCCTTCCCATTGGTGGCAGGCGTGGGCAGGCGTCCTCTGACTGAGATGAGGGGAGAGTCCGTGCGTGCCTTTCCTGCAGATTCTATTTTACCGTCTGCAGATTTGAAAGCTCAGCTGAAGTGCATACAGCTGGGTGAAGGCCCCTGATGACAGCGGCATCCAGCCCTGGCGTGTTCCGCTCAGATTTTAACAAAAGGAAGGGTGTGCACTGGGTGGGCATCAAACCTGTGAGAGCGCGTCCTGCCCAGTGTGGGGACAGGGTGGCTTTGCCCCCAGGGATGGCTCAGTGGGGCGAGGGGCAGGGAGAAGACATCTCAGTACCCCAGGAGTGGCCGAGGGCTCTGGGAACGTGTGGCAAAGGGGGGCTGGGAGGTGGCGGGGAGGAGAGGCTGCCGACTGCTGCTGTGCAGGATGTGCGCCGAGCCATCCTTCCCTTTTGCACACACTGGGTGCAGCACCTGGTGCAGAGCTGAGGCATGCAGGCAGGACAAGGCCGGTGAGCGGGGATCTGGGTCTTGTCCCGTCACCAGGGCTGGGCCGTCGTTGCCACCACCCTTACACACGGCCAGACCAGGTGTCTCCTCTTTCCTCCAAGCTCCGGGTTTTCTTCCCTTGCAGTCAGCCGTACATCGTGTGCAGACAGTGCCCCGACTACCGCAGGCAGGCGGGGCGGCCCCTTCCCTGCCCAGGGCCCGGCAGTGAGCCAGGGGCACCGCAGGCCTCTGGGGATGCACCATCGACGTCCGCCAGCATCATGACAGGTGAGACAGCCACACCTTCCGTGCTGTCCCGACCATTCGGGGAGCGGGTGGCACTTCTGCTGGCTCCTCTCTGCTCGAATGGCTCGTTGCTTCTCATAAGCTGTTTGGAGCTAAGAAACCAGAGAATTAACTTCATTTGTGGGCCTTGGCTCCTGGACACACCCGAGGATTCAGTCCTGATTCTAACACTTACCCCCCACCCCGCCCAGCCCACTACCTCAGGACAGTCGGCATCCCCCATGGTGCTCACACCAAAGCCAAAAGGACCATCACACACAGGCCCCTCCAGTGAGGGACTGGCCTCTTTCCAGCAAGAGGACATGATGTTACCAGAGCCGCCCTGAGCTATCTGTTCGATGCCCGTTTCAGTGGGCAGGTCTCCAGGTGCCATCAAGAAAGGGAAGGTGGACACATGGACTGTGGTTTGTGGTCCTGCGTTGTAGGGCCTGGCCTCTCTGCCACCGTCAGCCTGAGCCTGTCAAGAGGCCACTGACCTCTAAGGATTGCGACCCAGAGCCACGTTCTTAACCATCTTCCACGATGCTGTGCCATGGCTCTTGGGGGCTTCCTTGTAGGTCCCTCAGGTAGGGATGGCTGGGGCAGCGTGTGGAAGGCCCCACTGGGACCGTAGCGCAGTGTGCACAGGCAGAGCCTCATGTGGTGCGTGAGTGACGGGGGGCCGGGCCACGTGGACACAGCTCCTGGTCCAGGGTCAGCCAGCAGGGACTAGAGAAATCGCTTTACTGTTCTCTGGGCTGCCCTTCCTTTATGGGAAATGGTAAAAAACCTTCATGTGATCATTGAAATCTTGCTACGACTACTGAACCAGGAGATAACTTCGGTCATTTTTCAATCTATTTAAACTTCTTAGTTTGAGCTGTAGACCGTCACTTGGCTGTAGGAAAATAGGCCTGAGTTCTGTCTGGGTTTTCTTGTAGGTCTGTGTCCTCGTGCATACCTTACAGCTGCCTCTCTAGGTGTGGTCTGAGCCCCTCTTGCTGCCCGTGTGCGGGCGGCACCAGCCTGAGCGTCCTATCTGTTCCACAGCCCAGGACTACGTGTGTGCCCTGCAAGGAAGCCACGCCATATGCACCTGCTGCTTCCAGCCCATGCCCGACCGGAGGGCGGAGCGCGAGCGGGACCCTCGCATCGCCCCCCAGCAGTGTGAGTGAGGGTGTGGGTGTGCCGTCTCCCCGGCGCCCCTCCCCACCTCGGAGCCGCTCCTGTGTGCCCTTCCAGCTCAGGTTTCAAGAGTGTTGTGGACTTCTCTGTGTGGTGTGAAGTAAGGGTGCGCAGGTTCCCACCTGCGTCGTCAGGTGTCTCTGCGGGACCACGTTGAATAATCTATCTTTTCCCACCGGTTGATAACCCCGCCCCCATCATACACTAAGTTTCCACACACGGGGGGCTCTCTTTCTGGATCTTGTATCTGCCGTGTGTCCCCACAGTAGTTCTCCAATGTGTCATTTTATTCTATTCTATTCCATTCTATTCTGTTCACTGTGTGGCTTTCTGGACCTCAGATCCCCGACTAGGGATTGAACCCGGGTCCAAGGTGTCACTTTAAAGTCTAACAGATTAACTATATGGCGCTTTAATTTACAGTCTTTGGATCACTATGAAAATCGAGTTGTCATTTATTTACCAGTCCCTTGAACCTTCTCCTCGCTGGATGGCGTGACCGGTGCTTGTGCTCTGTGTCCGCAGGTGCCATCTGCCTGCAGCCCTTCTGCCACCTGTACTGGGGCTGCGCCCGGACCGGCTGCCTCGGCTGCCTGGCCCCGTTCTGTGGTAATGTCGGCCCTGCCGTCGATTGCCGCCACCTTACCGTGTTCTCTCGTGCACTTGAGGCCAGTGCTGGGCTGGCCGTGTGCCCGAGGAGGGAGAGGCCACGTTGGTCACCACGAGTTGGCCCCTTTCCCTGGTGGTCTGCGTAGGTTTGCGAGCGTCAGTGAGGGGGACGCTGAGTCATGCATGAGGACCACCCCCACTAAAAAATTGTGTCCGGACTTCACGACCCCAGACCAGGGGCTGCGCAGACTGGCCGTTTCTGGGGGGAGTGGAATGGAAGTCCTTTTACTTTTTCTCTGTTTGAAGTTGTATTTTGTCATGGAACTTTTTATTCTTTGTAGACTCCATAATGAAGGAAACTTGGTTATCTTAACTGTTGGGTGAACGTTGCTTTCGTAAAGTGTGTATGAAACGGATAACACTGCTTCCCTCCGTCCTGACAGAACTCAACCTGGGCGACCGGTGTCTAGACGGGGTGCTGAGCAACAACAACTACGAGTCGGACGTCCTGAAGGTACAGGCGCGGCGAGGCCAGCGGGAGGCCTTCCAGGACCCGCCAGTGACCTCATGACTCTGCACTTCTGACTAGTGCTGCCACTGTATCTGCTTATCCCTATATTCCCCCCAAATAGGTATTCCTCCCCCCCCGCCACACAGGAAGCCACAGGAATTGTGTCCCACAGTTCCAGCTCCTGCTCGGCCTGCGTGGAGTGGGGCAGGGTGCGGCCGGCCCTCGGGTGGAACCAGGACTGCCCCTCGCTCTCTTCCCGCGTTGCAGGGGGCAGCTGGCTTTTAGAACTTCAGTGCTTAACGTGCACGTCAGTCCCTTGCCAGGAGCCTTGCCTTCACCTGGATCATGTGCGGCATCGGCCGCAGGGTGAATAGCAGGCACCTCAGCACGATGGTGCTCAGGCTAGATGTCCACGGGGCGCTTTCTTGTAGGTTTGCACAGAAGGAGCCAAGCAGCTCCACGTGTCTTGAGGGCAGAGCACAGATCCAGACCCTGGCTTCCTTGTCATGTGGTCATGGGCCTGTTCTGCACTGTGGCCACTCCGGCCAAGGTTAGGTGTCTCGCTGCTCCTGTGCTAGGAATGTCTTTGCAGAATTTCAGAGAGAGTGTGGTACCTCTTACGCTCAAGGTTGTAAAGCTAGCCTGCCTTTTGAGACTCAGAAGAAGCACCTTGGACAAAAATCTTGTGCAGTAGTGTGTGGATGTGATACCATGTCTATCCCAGGCCTCCTGGTCCGCGAGGCTACCTGGGCCGTCCAGGCTGTGGTCCTGGAAGCAGGCCCCCTAACTGCACGCAGTGCTCGCCCTCTGCAAGTGCCCACCACGTTTAGGTGCTTGGCTTTACCCACCTCCCAGGGCCTTTTATGAAATGTCAACCCTTTTTGCCATTCTAGTGTTTCTTTCTCCAAGCTTGTTTCTTCTCTTGCCCGTTTCCCTGTTACAGAATTATCTGGCCACCAGGGGTTTGACGTGGAAAAACATGTTGACTGAGAGCCTCGGGGCTCTACAGAGGGGAGCGTTCCTGCTGTCTGGTAAGCCTCGTTGTGCCTGCTCTCCCGCACTGACAGTGGTGCTTTCCAGGGCAGCTCTGCCTCTGGTGAACCAGCCACACCCGCCAGGCCGCACGCTGGCAGTACTGCTTGTCAGCTTTCCCACGCTCACACCTGCGACCTCCGCCCACCCTGGCAGACACACACAAAGGTCCTACTACTCTTGGGTTTCTTTTTTTATGTTGGGTTTGAGTCGACATGACATATTCTGGAATCTTTTCTCGCACAGGGGAGGGAAGGGGCAGAGCTGGAGAGGTGTTGGCCCTACCGCTTGTCAGCGTTGACATCCTGGGGCTGGTTGTTCCCAAACCCTCGCGGTCCTTGGTGCCTGTCCCTCAGTGCGTGGGTGACTCAGTGAAGGCTCGCCCCCTCTCCCAGGGACACCCAGTGCATTGTGAAGTGTGAATTTTTGTCACTAAGGGAGGGTGCAGAAAAATCAGCAAGTGATTTTTTTTTCCCTAAGACATGAATTATTATGAAAGACTTGAGAGGTTTGCTGGGAACCCTTCTAAGCTATTTTTGGACACATTCTAGTGAATGTCTTGGGTTTTCTCTGCTGCGACGGCTCTGTGTGGTTGGGTCTTAAGTCCTTATGCTTTTTAATGGCTATTTTTATAAGAATGATGTGGTTCACAAAGAAAATGTAAGTGGTACAAGGAAGTCTGAAGGATAAAGTGAAAATCATTAGAAATCCCACCACCTAAAAATATACCCAGTGATAATACTTTCACGATCACCCTTCTAAGTACACGTACCCATGTGTGTGTATAATTTGTATAAATGAAATCCTATCAGATATGCTTTTAATAAGCTATTCACTCACCAATATATCTTGGACCCTTCCTATGTCAATAAAGATCTATACCATGATTTTTAGTTAGCATTCTGATACCATCGTTCATTTAGCCAATTCGTTAGCAAAGGATATTTAAGTTGTTTCCAGCTTTTGACTATTTGAAACAACACTGAAGCTGTCAAGCATGCAGTCCTGTAGGTTTAACAGTTGTACCCTTAGGATAAGCAGGGCTGCTGGAGGTACGGTTGAGGTGTGCCTGGGGCCTGAGGGCCAGCATCCCCTGAGCCTGTCAGCTGCGTGTTTGCCATCTAGGCCTTGTAAATATGAAAGAGGCAAATGGTGAGGTATCATTGTTTTATCTGCCATATTTGATTATTAATGAAATTGAAGATCTTTTTGTTTTACGGGCCATTTGCTTGTCTGTGTCCTTGGTCCATATTTATGTTAGGCTATTTGGACTTGGGAGGTATGGATTTGTGTGATATCTTTGTTAATTAAGGGTACAACACATTGTCATTTGTGCTGAAAATACGTTCTCTACTATTTCATTAGTATTTCATTTTTGTTGTACGTGTTTCCATTGTGATGTTTAAACTGTAGGCAGTCACATTTACAAATCCTTTCCTTTGTGCCGTTCGGTTTTCATGTCGTAGTTGGAAATAGCTCAAGAGAAGAACATTCATTCCTCTTAGTACTTTTCTAGATTTTTTTGAATATTTGAATTTTAAATCCAGGTGGATTTTGCCGTAAGGAAGTAAGTCGGTTATCTAGGTTGGTTTTGTTCTCGTGTTCCAAATGTCCAGCCCTTTGTCTCCGGCCAGTCTGTGGATCATGCACTGGTCCCCCAGCAGTTTGCAAGGCCGCGTCTATTTTGCCGCCGTGCCTGTAAGAGGCTGTGTTCCTTCTAGATTACAGAATCACCGGGAACACCGTGCTGTGCTACTGCTGTGGCCTGCGGAGCTTCCGCGAGCTGACCTACCAGTATCGGCAGAACATCCCTGCTTCTGAGCTGCCGGGTAAGGAGACCCCTGCCCCTACCCGCACCTGGCCCACAGCTCAGTTCTCTTTGCATTGGCTCCCATTCTCCTTTGCAATAGTTAGATAGCCTGTGTGGGCCTTTGCTCTGTGTTCTTAGCGGACGTCTGCGTCGGCCAGGGACACGGGCAGGTCTCAGGGCCGTCCCTGCCTGGTGCCTGCTCAGGCTCTGTGTCTCTGAAGCAGGTTGCTAAAACAAGATGCCCAAAAAACGTCCTATGGGCAACCGGAGTCATCTCATTTCTAACCTGGCTTTTCAGTTGAACCTTTTTTTCCATTCCTGGAGAACAGTGCAAGGAAACGAGCTGTGAAGTGTGACGAAGCGCTGTGTGTTTGAGCTGCAGTGTCTCTTTGGCCTTGGCTTAAATTCACTAGGCTGAGTCTGTGAGTGTGGTATGTGTGTCACACGTGTTCACTTTTTTCTCTCCCTAGTGGCCGTAACGTCCCGTCCTGATTGCTACTGGGGCCGCAACTGCCGCACTCAGGTGAAGGCCCACCACGCAATGTGAGTGCGGCATGGGGGCGGGGGCCGGGCCAGGGCTGAAGGAGTCCCCTCCAGAGAGGCAAACCCACGCTTTCCCTA